TTGCTCTGTTGCCCAGGCTGGAGTGCAGTGGTGCAATCTCAGCTCACTGCAACCTCCGCCTCCAGTGTTCAAGCAATTCTCCTGCCTCAGCCTCCCGAGTAGCTGGGATTACAGGCATTCACCACTACATCCGGCTAAGTTTTGTATTTTTAATAGAGACGGGTTTAACCATGTTGGCCAGGCTAGTCTCCAACTCCTGACCTCCAGTGACCTATCTGCCTTGGCCTCTCAAAGTGCTGGGATTACATGTGTGAGTCACTGAACCTGGCCTGCTTCTAAATCTTGAGCTTGCGTTTGAAACACCTGGACAGGTGGGGCCCCACCCAGGTGGTGCCGATGCTCCCCTTTAGAGGAACACAGTTTGAGTAGTACTGCCATAGGTCACCCAGCTCCCTCTCCACCCCTCCCCACCTCCATCCCCTAGAAGGACTCAACTGTCCCATTGTCAGAGCCTTGTGGGGAACCTGTCCACACCACCATTGCTTCATGCCTCCCTTTTTCCTTCCTCTTTTCAGGCAACTTTTTGCCCTCTATTTGCAAAGCTTCTTGTCACGCCCCTTCCTTCCTGAATGTTCGAGGCTATCTTGTAATTATATGTGTACCCCTAGAAGTTTGTGCAATGATCCAGGTTCTTGTGTTCACAAGAGACAGAGTCCTACTCAAGCCAGCTTCAGCCAGAGGGAAGCTTAATACAAAGACACCAGAAACCTGAGGGCAGGGTAGCTACAGCAGAGCCTGGAAACATCTCTCGTCTCTGTGTCTGCATCATTCATTCTCTCTTTCTCTCTCCCTCTCCACCTCCTCTTTCCTCTCCCTCTTCTTCCAGCCTGGCTTCCTTTGCTGCTCTGTCCCTGGGGACAAAGATGAGTATGGCCATGCACAGAGACACTGACATGGGCAGAGACCGGCTAGACTCTCCCTTTGTCAATTTCAAATTCCTGGGAGAGGGACTCTGATTGGTCCATTTGGGGCCAGTCGTCCTCCCTGGCCCAATCAGCTATGGCCTAGAAGGTTGGGATTCTGTTGCACAAACATGGCAGCTGGCACAACCCACAATTCCAAATTCACACTGGGGCAGTTTCCAGAGAATGTTGCCGTAATGAGCTCTGTGGATGCTCCCAAAGGGACCTGGCTAAAGGGTTCTTCCCAGCCCCAGTTACCCTGTCATTGCACAGGAAACGGTACGTAGCTATTGTCAAGGCTGCCTGAAAGACAAACCCAGGTCCTGCAGGTAGTCTAGAGGTGTGGGGTGGGAGCCCAGTGACAAAGTGCTGCCTCCCCTTTGGACTGCAGGTGAACATGCTGGTGCTGGGGAAGTACCTGGGCATCCCGAAGCCCTTCGGTCCCATCATCGATGGCCGCTGCTGCCTGGAGGAGAAGGTGCGGTCCCTGCTGGAGCCGCTGGGCCTGCACTGCACCTTCATCGACGACTTCACTCCATACCACATGCTGCACGGGGAGGTGCACTGCGGCACCAACGTGCGCAGAAAGCCCTTCTCCTTCAAGTGGTGGAACATGGTGCCCTGAGCCAGCCCCCACCCACCATCCTGTCCCCCTGGGGTGGGCCTTGGCCCAGGTGGTGGAGATAGAGACAGTCCCCTGAACAATAAGCACCAAGAGACCCCCGAAGCTCCAGATGAAACACTGAGGGTGACTGCCCCTCTTAGAAGCCTTTTCCCTGGAAGTGTGCATGCCTCACCTGCAACCCATTTGGTTCTCAGACTTGAATCTTCTTGGCCTCCCATAAAAGAAGGACCTCATTTCTTACAGCCTCTCCTGTGAATCAACACGACCCATGGAGTTGTCCCCTCACCACTCTGAAATCCTCCATCTGGGGACACATCCATATTGGGGTCTAGAAATATCCATGTGTCTCATCGCCATCTTGTCCTATGCGTCCTAACAGAGGAAGGATCCATGATTCTGCTTTGGTCCAATTGCTTCCTCTCTGCAGAGGAACAACCCTAAAATAGGCCACTCCACACAGGACAGGCAGGAGGGAGTCTTCCTCAAGCCCCTACCCCCACCCCATAAAAAGGGAGTTGTGCATCCACTTAGATCAGGGCGGGACCATCATCCACCCTGCCAAACTCCTGCTCAGGTGTTGAACCTCACCTAGCATGAGCTGTCACATAGTAGGAGCTTCTAGATGCATGTGGAAGGAATGAGAGTTGTCCCTTAGCCTTACAAACTCCCTGTCATCTGACATGCAGAAATCCAGCTTTCTCCAGAATCGTCCCGGAATTTCTTGGAGATGAAAGTATCTGGGGAATTGTTGGGTACTGGGAAGATTGAGTACGAGGGTGAAAAGGATGTCCCTTAATACACATGGTTGCCTGTGGTGATCCACCTTGTGAAGGTTAACATTAGGTGTCTGGAGAAGGATGCTTCATTGGCCCTGGGACCTCTCTCTGCAGGAGGAGAGACCCCTTCCTCTCCTCTGGATTGGTCCTAAGCTCTGTGTTGGCCTTGGGTCAGCATTTTTACTCTGCCGCAGGAGAGGGGCTAAAGAGGCTAGATCCACCAAGACAGCTCACAGCAGGAAAACTCTGGGAATGAACCGCTGAATTCAGAGGATGGAGGTTGGGGGGTTTGTTAAGCTATGTGCCAGTTACATGTGTGTTCTGTATGGGTCCAGCTGCGTTTTCATCACTGGCTAATAAATCAACAGAAACACAAATGGCTTGGCTCTCATGCTGACCCTTCTTTGAGCTTAGAACGAGACAGCGAGGAGGGAGGAGTTTCTTGCCGCTGAAGCATTTGCTTTCTTGACCCCCAAGAATTTGGGGCTGACATCCCAAATTCTGATAAGACTGAGATTGCCTTGTCTTGGCTGGAGGACGGGTTAGGGCTGCCATGGACATTCCGATGATATGGACATATAAAAGCAAGCCTGGGGGTAAAATGCCAGACTCCCAGGACCAAGCGAGCATGGCAGGGATAGGGACTGGGCTGTGGCCAGAGGTTGCATTGTGGAAGGAGGGGCAGTGGGAAGCATGTGGAGGCCTGTTGCACGCCCTTAGCAGCATCCTCCTTCCACCTACAAGAGGCTTCAGGAAGCCTTACACAGAGCACTAGGGCCCTGGCCCTCTGCCCTCCCCCTCCCAACGCCCTTATTCTCCCTTAAGGTGCAAAACACAGAAACACACTCCAGCTCTCTTCGGACTGGGTGGCTAGAGGTGTGTGGGTTTCTCCAGTGCTGCCTCCTGGCCGTGGCTTACTTACGTTCTAGAACAGACTCCCAGTGCTCCCTCACATGCTCGGATTTTGACTCATTAAGCTCCTTCCCCACCTTCCGCAGCAAGGGAAGCTGAGACAGACGAAGATGCTGCGAACATCCTGTTTTCTGAAAGAGTATTGGGAGGGAAATGGGTAAGTGCCTCTAGAGGGTAAGTGCCTAAAATTAGCAGAACAGGGATTGAGTTTCCAAAAGGCTTTTCTCACCCCCAAGACTGGCCACAGGGCTCTGGGTGGACCCAACATTAAGCCCTGGAAACTTCTTGCCTCTAAGTTGCTCCCTGTGCTCTAGGTTGGTGTAGCCAGGGCAACTGAGCAGTGAAAAACCTAACCCCAAAGTGGACGAGAAACAAAACGCATTTGAACATGGCATTCACCTGTCCACACAGCAAAGGACAGGGTGGGTGCGTTACTTTTTGAAGGCTGTTCTCACAAATTACCATAAACGAAGTGGCTTAAAACAGCACAGAGGTCAGAAGTCTGACATGGTATCGTGCTGGACCTCTACTGACTTCAGTTGAAGCTGGGCACGGTGGTACATGCCTGCAGTCCTAGCTGTTCGGGGGGCTGAGGCAGGCAGATTGCTTGAGACTGGGAGTTTGAGGTTACAGTGAGCAAAGATCACACCACTGCACTCCAAACTGGGTGACAGAGGGAGACCCTGTCCCCCAAAAAAACGACAAGACAGGGATGGCGCCACGTTTGAGAGACTGAAGAAGAGACCCGGAGCCAGTGACTGAGACATAAGGATTTTTTTTTTTTTGGTTTGGTTTTTT